TATACTTGTCTAATTAGATTTAATTTTATTAAGAAACTCATAGTAGAGTTATATAAAAATTATTTTCTTTTATATATGAATTAATTAATATTTTTTATATTAATAATTCTTGTCTAATTAGATTTATTTTACTAAAAAATTGAGCATAATAAATAGATAAATAGGTTAATTTAAATTTTATTATTTAGATTTTAGTGTTTTATCATATTATTTAATAAATATTTTTTTACATACATAAATAAATATTGAAACTCTTTACACATCTAATAATAGTATAGATAAAAACTCTTTTTATATTAATTAATAAATATTTTTTTATATAAATAAATAAATATTGAAATACTCAAACTCTTTGACAGAGTTTCTATATTTTACTATGTATTTTACTCTGAAATTCTAGATTTCTAGAATTCTCAATTTCTGTACCCCTTCCTCCTTCCTCCATGCCTCTATTTATAGGCTTCTTGAATGAATAGGATAATGACATGTGTTCTTTTCTGATAATGACATAATCATAATTGGGCCGGGCTGGTTATATTGTAATAATTATTCATAAAAAATAACAAAAAATAAGAGTTTTATATAGAATATGATTGGTTTTATTAGATAATTTTTAGATTTTTATAAAAACTATAATTATCCATAAAAAAAAAACTAAAAATAAGAGTTTTATATAGAATATGATTGATTTTATTACATAATTTTTAGATTTTTATAAAAACTATAATTATCCATAAAAAAAAAAACTAAAAATAAGAATTTTATATAGAATGTGATTGGTTTTATTAGGTAAATTAGATTTTATTTAATTAAAAAACTTATAATAAATAAATAAATAGGTAATTTGTGTTAAAGTTTAATATAAACTGTTTTAAAAACTATTTTTATATTAATTAATAAATATTTTTTATTTTAGTAGTTTTTGTCTAATTAGATTTACTTTTAGTAAAAAAACTCAAAATAAATAGATAAATAAGTAATTTGTGTTTTAAAAACTCATTAAAAAACTTTCTTTTGTATCAGTTAATAAATAATTTTTTATACTAACAATACTTGTCTAATTAGGTTTCCTTTTATTAAAAAAACTCATGATAAATTGGTAATTTGTGTTAGAGTTTTATACAAACTCTTTAAATATATCTTTGTTGATAGAGTTTTATTGATAATAAAATAGGTAATTTGTAATAGAGTTTTATTGAAATTATTTTATTATCTTTAAATATATACTTGTCTAAGTAGTTTTAATTTTATTAAGATACGCATAATAAAAAGCTAATTTGTGGTAGAGTTTTATAAAATTATTTTATTTTATATATCAATTAATAAATATTTTTTATCTAAATAAATCTTGTCTAATTAGATTTTCTTTTATTAAAAATTGATAATAATAAATAGATAAATAGGTTAATTTATATTTTATTATGTAGATTTTACTGTTTTATAGTTTTTTTTTAGGAAAAACTCTTTTCATATCATTTAATAAATATTTTTTTATTTAAATAAATAATGAAACTCTTTGCACATCTAATAATAATATAGATAAAAACTCTTTTTTATATCAATTAATAAATATTTTTTTCATATAAATAAATAAATAATAAAAACTCTTGACAGAACTTTTGTATTTTACTCTGAAATTCAACTCAATTAATAAATATTTTTATATATATTAATATTTTTATATAAATAAATAAATACTGAAACTCTTTGGGAGAGTTTCTGTATTTTACTCTGGAATTCTGAATTTTTAGAATTCTCAATTTCTGTACCGTTTCCTCCTTCCTCCATGCTTCTATTTATAAGCTTCTTCGATGAATAGAATGATGACATGTATCCTTTTCTGTTAATGACATAATCATAATTGGGTCGGGCCTGTTATATTGTGATAATTATTTATAAAAAATAACTAAAAATAAGAGTTTTATGTAGAATATGATTGATTTTATTAGGTAATTTTTAGAGTTTTATAGAAACTATAATTATCCATAAAAAATAACTAAAAATAAGAGTTTTATATAGAATGCGATTGATTTTATTAGGTAATTTTTAAAGTTTTACAGAAACTATTTTTACAAAAATTATTTTTATATCAATTAATAAATATATTTTTATATAAATAAATAAATACTGAAATACTGAAACACTGAAACAACTAAAAATAAGAGTTTTATATAGAATGTGATTGATTTTATTAGGTAATTTTTAAAGTTTTATAGAAACTATAATTATCCATAAAAAATAACTAAAAATAAGAGTTTTATATAAAAGGTGATTGATTTTATTAGGTAATTTTTAAAGTTTTACAAAAACTATTTTTACAAAAATTATTTTTATATCAATTAATAAATATTTTTTTATGTAAATAAATAAATACTGAAATATTGAAACACTTTGCACATTTAATAATAGTATAGATATAGATATATATATATATATATATATATATATATATATATATAAAGAGCAAGGCTGTGAGTTTTTGTAAGCAAATTTCTCTTGTGGAGCAAAGTTGAGTGATTATGATGAAACATTCACTTACCCATCAAACTTCCTTTATGATTTATCAAAACTACAGTAACGTCTCGTCTAATTTAAAAATTACTCTGACTTCACTAGTCAAACATTTTTGTTAAAAAACTTCAAAAATACGAAGGGTATTTTTTTTTTTTTTTTTTTTTTTTTGTACTGTCTTACCCTCAACTTTAAAGTATCTTCTGGTGGACAAGACAATTCATTATGACAAAGTGACATTTTGAAATTTATATTTGTCAATTGTAAGCAAATTTCATCCATGATCCACCGATGATCAATGTTATAATGTGATGAGAAGTCGATGTCATTTAAAAAATATAAAAAAGATCGCTGTAATTCGAGAAAAAAACTTGGGAGAGGTCAATAAAAAAAGGAACGGAATATGCACACACGTGTGATATATCACCAAACCAATTGCCAATTGGAACTGTTCTAGATAGGCAACAGTTTTAGAGTTGCTGAGCTAATCGGAGTGTTGCTTGGGCCAAAGTTGATTCCAGCTACTTTTTATAATTTTTTATGAATTGGGGTATTATGGGTCCTATTAATTGTTTGAATGAATATGACTAAACATTTCACTCTAAGTATTCCCACTGGTCAGGAAAAAAAAGTATTCCCACTGGTCCATTCACTCGAGTGGTATTATTTCTCTTAAGTTGCCACCGAGTTTGAAATCTACCGTCACTAGAACAAATTATGTGACTTATGGATTTCATTTGTTTTGACATAAATTGTTTTTTTTTAAAGTTGAAGTCGAGCCCATCGAAAGAAAGTGTAAAATAACTTATCGAAAATTGATAGGTAATTTATTTTTGTTATATTTTAATATTTTTTTTTTATAAATTATTTTACAAAATATTTTACTTCCAAACGAAATGTATGTTATTCCCTCTTGTTTTTTACCAACAACAACAAAACATAGATGATGCTTAGAGTCTTAAGTGGAAAACCCCGGCATTTGATTACCACTTTTGTTAATTTTCAACAAATTTAAAACACTTTATTCATCAATAAATAAACTAGATCTGTTTTGGTTGGAAATAAACTCCAATCCGTTTAATCACTAGTCTTGTGTAACAATGTACGGACTTAATGTTGTCATCCATGTTACAGGGTAGATATTCGATTCATGCCTAATGAAATTGATTGACAATATTTAGCATGTGTGTGTATATATATATTTATATATACGTGTGTATATTATATAGGCAACACTCAACCACTAACTTACAAAAAGGATTACTAAATTTTAATTTCTTCAATCATTGTCTTACATTTTTAAAATGCCATTAACAGGTCATTTTGAATGTGATATCTGATTTAACTGTCAAAAATAAGAGAAGCCCTTCCCAATATATATAAATAAACACACAGATATCTCTATTATTATCCACAAACAGGGAGGGAGCGACCTTCGGGCTGGCCTATTAAATTTTATATATCTTTTGGTATATCATTTGTAAAATATTACTTGTGCCCCCTAAAAAAAATTTCTTTCTAAAACACCCTTTCGACATAATTTTTTTTTATACATATAAGTATATAAGTTGTAAAAAATTACTTTGTGCCCCCTGAAACTAAAACCTGGTTCCGTCTCCATTTACAAATATATATATATGATTGTATCTATGTGAGAATTGAGTAATGATATACTGCCCGATGGAGCTTCCTGTCATTTTGATCATGATAATGTATAAATATTGATACATGTCATTTGAAAGATGATTGTATAAATGTATTATTATACTATCAATTTTTCATTTCAAAATTCATTTACACGGTTGCACTCAAATAGGCATGGATCCATTAAGGGCTTGGACCCATTAGATTTTTTTATTTGTAAAATTACCTATAAATTTTATAAAAATCTTAAAAGTATCCTATCTTTTTTTAAAAAAATCTTTAAAATGCCTTACTTAATACGATAAATTATTGTTATTCAAGGCCGTCCCCTATGAGTCGTCATTGCACTCAAACTTTTACATTATGTTTCTTTTTCTTATTATTCTTATTATTATTACTTTTTGTTTTTTTAGTAAATTAAACTACAGTATCATTTTTGATCATCCGGTATAATTTTATTTTATAGTATTTTGAGCGGATTATTTTACAATAAAAAAATCACTTTAATATTGGTACCGACTTATTAGTTATTTTATTATTAAGAGAGAGATATGCCTATTGTATTCCGCAAAATATGGAGGGATGACAGTTTCCCTACCCGCCAAAAAAGACAGCACTGGTAGGCTTTGCCGCGTTCCCATTTTCAACCTTAAAAATCAACGGCTAGTAAGGGGAGAGTAGTCCCCAAAGTCCAAAATTGGACAATAAGACAATACAAAGGACTATTTTAATTGTTGCATTTCGTCAGAGTGAAGCTACCCACTAAGAATTTTAAATACCAATTTTATATTAAAAAATGAGGATTCAATTATCAAACCCCAAGCTGTTCACATCAGAGACCCACCCGTGAAGAGATAGAGAGGAGAAAGTGGTAACCCCCAAATTGGTATTTGAGCTATAAAGTTGCAAGCAAAGTGTCCTAAACTGAGGAATTGGAAAAGTAGAACTTTGGCCATTATTGGAAGGTAGGTTTTCATTCTCTCTCATATTGAACTTTTTCAAGGTGAATCTGTTTTGGGTTCAAAAAAATCTTTAAGGGTAAGCTTTCATTCTCTCTCATTTTGAACTTTTTTTAAGGTGACTCTGTTTTGGGTTCAAAAAAATTTAAGGGTTTGCTTTCATTCTCTCTCATTTTGAGCCTTTTCAAGGTGGATCTGTTTTGGGTTTCAAAATTTTCTAGTGTCTCTGCAAATATGCACTAAATAGTTTTCTATTCAGGTTTAGATTTCTTGAAATATGTCTACGTTTGCATGTATTAGTTTTTGGTGATTACTGTTTTGCTCAATTTTGGGATGAATATATATATATATGTGTGTGTGTTTGTGTGTGTTCTATTGAATGGACAATACCCAATTGACTTGTTTTGATGACCTTCTCTTCAGGGTCCTCCACTAAGCTTATGGAGATCTCACATATCAGAGGCTTAGCAGAATTGGTAAGTCTTTTCTGCAAATTGTGTTTAGCTTTGAATGTGTTTTATCATAATTCTTGTTTAATTTTACATAATAATTAAAGTGAAAATTTTATGATTATAATTGGTATTTAATAATAAGTTATTTGAATGAATGAGTAAGAATTGAAGAATGAGCAAAATAGTAGACTTGAAAAAAAGAAAGGGGTATGGTATCACTAATTTATAAGAAAAATAAGGGTATTTAGCACATAAATTAAAATTATTTGCAATGTTTAGGGTTTTTATTTATTTATTTATTTATTTTAAATTTCCTTATTTATTGAATTATAAATAATGAATATGAGTTCAAACTACTTGACAAAGAATGGTTGTGTTTTTAGAATTTGGAAGTAAATTGCAACTTACAATGACTAAATAAGAAGAATATTTACAGGGAATGGAGGATCATGGATTCGTGCATCAGTGGCCAATGAACTCTGTTGATGATTTCAACACTCTGTCTATGGCAGCTTCATTCGGAGACAATTTACACCCCTCTTTCGCTCACCCAATCTTCGACTTCAAAACCTCAACAGAATTTTCTCACACCGACGTCAATAGGCCTATGAAAGTGCCCAAAACCAACAATTGGAGTTCCTCCAAAACCGATCATATGCCAAACCAACACACTGCTGCTTCCACCCAACACCTTCATTTTCTCAATTCGAATTACACAAACCAAGCCGGTATTGTGAAGCCTAAACAGGAGGTAATGTCTTATAAAAATACTACTGCTCTACCTTCTGATGGTTTGGTTTCCCAAGCTTCATTCGGAAACCAAAATTATGTGTTCAAGGCTTGTCAAGGAGCCAAGAGGATTAGCACTAGCACTAGACTTTCTCAAACTCAAGATCACATCATAGCTGAGAGGAAGAGGCGCGAAAAGCTCAGCCAGAGATTCATAGCTTTATCTGCTATAGTCCCAGGCCTGAAGAAGGTATTCATTTTTCTTGAATATTTCTTTGTTAATTTAAGATTTTGGACATAATAGCATATACTGGTAATGATATATCTTAAAAGTATTTTATGTATTGTTTGTGCTTTATTCAAATTTAATCCTATCGTATTCCCAATTGTGAGTACTACTATAAATTAATAATTCTAAAATCCCCAATTGGATCATCATAATATTAACAGATGGACAAGGCTTCTGTTCTTGGAGATGCTATCAAGTACTTGAAACAGCTTCAAGAGCGAGTCAAGACACTCGAGGAACAAACTAGGAAGAAATCCATGGAATCAGTGGTCTTTGTGAAGAAATATGAGCTCTATGCTGATGGTGACAATTCTTCCTCAGTTGAGAACTCCTCTAACGGCCCCTTTGATGAACCGCTCCCTGAAATCGAAGCAAGATTGTCCGACAAAGATGTCCTCATAAGAATCCATTGTGAGAAGAAGAAAGGAGTTCTTGAAAAAGTAGTAGCTGAAGTGGAGAAACTCCATCTATCAGTAGTCAACAGCAGTGTCCTCACTTTTGGGAGTTTTGCGCTTGACTTGACCATTATCGCGCAGGTAATTTCATATTAATTATATAAAGGATCATTGCTCTTATCTAGATTCTAGATCATCTTCTTTGCAAATTTAGTGATTTTAAGTATTGATAAGCAACATAATAAAATTTCTTTTCATATTACTGATGTGTCCCCTAATGTAATGCAAAAACCTAAACAATTTTGAAGGAACAGAAAGCTCTACAATAAATTATGGTTCAAACCAATTGAAAAGTGTTTCCTTTTATTGCAGATGGACACAGAATTCTGCATGACATTGAAGGACCTTGTGACGAATCTACGTTCGGCATTTCAACTGTGTATGTGAAAGAAGCAGCCTCAAAGTTCAATACATGTATCAAAGTACCTCTATTTTATAAGTTTCTTTGTCATTACAGTTTTACAAGCTTTTTGTAAACAAGGCTTGTAAGTCCTCCATTTTAGACCATTTTGCCTTCGAATTTTTTGCTGTGAGGTTCATTTTTCAGGAGGGTTTTTTTTTTTTCTGTTGATTTTTGCATGGTTTATTTTGTTGACCATGTTAATCACCCAACTGTTGTAAAGGAATGACCTCATGGCTTGATTGGGCTTCTTTTTTTTTTTTTTGGGAGGTTGAGAAATCAACTAAACCTCTGTCTTGTGTCCCTTTCTCTTTCCTAGAAGTGGTTGGAAAGGGATAAATGGTTTTTTTTTTTGGTGGTTGGACAAACAAGGCCTTTGTATCAGTAAAGTGTTTGGTCAGTGTCTCAGAGAGCTCTTGAAAATTTTTCTTGAGTCTTTGTCTTTGTAATGCTATTTGGTTTGTAACAGTTTGGTTGACAATAATAAAAGTAACTTTTTTTCATAATTTCATGGAATGAGAATGAGCTTGAGGCTATATGCAACAATTTCTGTTATACTTAACAATGCTAAATCGAATGAATCTAACTTTATGTTAATTGTTAATATATAGGACCCATAGATATCTCTGTATAGCATATTTGGATTATCCATATTTCTATCTATAGCACAGAGAAAAAAAAAAAAAAATACTAAGAAATCTTGCACATGACCAGGAAAAAATTTTGAAAGGATCATCTTCCAACTTTGAGTTTTAACTCTGAAAATAGTTTTTAAGAAATCAGAGAACAAAAAACTATTTTTAAATAACTATAAAAGATAATTTTCTGAAAACAGGTCTTTTTATAATTGAGTTTTCAAAAATAATTTTCAGAAAACTGAATCAATCAGAATTTTTGTACAATTTTCTAAAAATAGGGTTTGCTTGATTTGTAACTCTGAAAATAGTTCTAAAGAATTTAGAGAACCAAAAACAGTTTTTAGATAACAATAAAAGACAGTTCTCTGAAAATATGTATTTTTATAACTAAATTTTTAGAAAATAGAACAAAGCAGAGTTTTTTGTATAGTTTTTTATTTTCAGTTTTAAAAAAAAAAAACTGTTTTTAAGGTTACAAACCGATCATGTCTGTTTTCTTTAACGAAAATGATATTGCTTTGAAAAGTGGAATGACTCCATTATTTATTTATTTATTTATGTGATTAAGGAATGATGTTATTGTAATGTCATGATGATATCATCTCTCCTACATAAATCCAGTCGAATGAGTCCGATTTTCGAAGCTGTATGGCTACTATTTTTTTAATGCTAGAATCTACATTCATCATATAATGTTCACACTATAAAATTTAGGAATTCTAGGTTTGTAACATTAATGATTTTTTTTTTTTTGTAGAGAAACAGACTACTACAACCATCACCAAGTAGTTGACAGATTGGGGTAGGAATTATATATTAAGCTAGCTTAATTGGATTGATTAAGCTAGTGGTTGAGTTTGACATTAAGAATTGACAGCTGAGAGTAATAAAGGTGGGAACTAATCTCATCATTGAAGGGTTTTAGAAGACTTATGTGTAATTTGACTTGAGTGAAATTATTAAAAAGGAATTGTAGTAATCTTAAGTCCCTACCAAAGATTGTGATCTTTCTAGCTTCTTTGGCTCTTTCTATTTTCTCTCTCTAGGATATGATAAAACCTATTCTACATAACTTAATCAGATTTTATGTACCTAATTAGAGATCATTGAGTTGCTTTTCTGATAAAAAATAGTAATAATAAAAAATAAAAAATTTAGATATCACTGAGACTCTTCAGATCAAAGGCTTATATAATAAAACACAAACGACCTGTCATCAAGTTGGAAAACATTGTGTTTTTTGTTTTTAAAGAGTAGGCGAAAAAAAGATTCCAATAAACATTGTGCTTTTGTTTTTTAATTTTTTAGCATAGTGAAAAATATTACGATTTATGTCTCTAGTGCAATGTTATTTTTAAAAGCACCGAATTATTAACGTTTTCGTAGACCAACAGTTGAGTTGCTTTCCGTTATCTTAGGGAGCCCAACTTATAATTCGATCCTTCACACCCGTTAACTTCTAATCTAACAATTTTATAATTGAAGTCATCTGTCAAGAACCAATAAACTGAGGTAGTATAATTGAAGTTATATGTCAAGAACCAATTAACTCAGGTAGCAAATTTGTTACCTTCTTTTCAAATGAATGTACTGATAAACTTAAGGGAATATAAATTAGGTAGGTGATGTAATTTTGTTCTATTTTTGTTGTTGTATTTGGTACACTTATAAATTACTGTATTTATAAGTAGTTTATTTTTATTATTATATATAACAGTTTCAAAGCAAGAGTTAGTCACCATTGTAAGAGATGTTACACCTCAAAATGCCAAATTTAAGAATTGGTATAAAATATTAAGATATTGTTTGATAATTCAAGTTAGTTCTTATTATTATTTCATTTAAGTTTATTTGATAAAATAATACAAATATCAATTTAAAGAAGGTTAAAAAAAAATTAAGTGATGAAGATTTCATTTTTTTTTTTTAGATTAACATAGATTTCACTTATTAGTTACCACTAACCATTTAAAATTTTAAAAAGTATCAAAAAAAAAAAAAAATTCAATTTATAATTGGCACTTTACATTTTAACGTTTAAAATATTCAGTATTCAGTTTTGATTTTATTAAATAATTAATATTACCCCAATCACATAATGATTAGAATACAGCTTGGATACTTCCATTGAGGAGCTTAGAAAATTGCAAGTTCATAAAGCTTTTTGAATGACAACTATTAAACTAACGCGTAAAACACCACGGGAGCAAGAAGGGTCAAATCACATGTAAAATTAAAAAAAATAAACAAATTAAAGAAAATAATGAAGGGAATGATTGGCATGTGACATATTTTCCACATATTTGGGAGTCATTAAAATGGAGGCCATCTAGAAGCTGGACCAAATTAATTTTAAATATTTAATGTGCTGGATGTTGGACCCATGTGAGAAAATTGTTTATAAAGAAAATGTGGTTGAAAAAAAAAAAAAAGTAATTTTAAACGGTCAAAATTTGTAGTCTAGTAATATTTATTTTTTAAAATGGAAGGCGAGAATTTGAGTTCCAATAAGATAAATGATGTAAAAAGTTTTTATTTTAGAAAAATTGTCGATTTATTGGACGAAGTAGTTTGAAAGGGAGACCAACTATTTGTGTTTCCAACAATCCAACAATAGCCATCTCTTAATAGAAATAACAAGAACACAAAGGAGAAAAAAAAAAAAAAAAAAACTATTAAGAGAAATTTCAAGAAAATTGGAGTTGATCATTTGCATATATTAGATACTAGCATAAGTTCGTCCTAAGATTATGTAACAACTACGTTATCTCAATATTGATATCATTAATATGAATAGATTTATATCTAACATGCTTTTTTTATATATAAATTTCAAATAAAGTAAGGGAATTGGTATTGGCCCTCTAATATTGTACTTGGACACACTACTTCTATATATTCATAATTAAATGACAAAAATAACCCTAAACTATCGCAACACATCTCTTTTTTTCTTACCTCTCTCACTTACTTGTCTCTTCGCTTTCTCTATGCATGCTTCCTGCACCAACAACAATAACATAGTATCCATCCACAATTGGGAGTCGATCTGAGTAGGTTGATAATCTATGTGTAATTCCCAGTATTTACTTTTCACATCTTCGACATTGTAGACTTGGCATCTATGTTTCTTTATACAGAATATTCAGGAAGAAGACATATAGGATAGTTTAGGGTTAATTTTGTCTTTTTATTTACAAATATATAGGAGGAGTGTATAATTTTGGAACGCCAACTTTAATTACAAGATCTATGAACTCACGTATTTAATTGCTAAAATAATTTTGAAAAAAAATTTATAAAAGTAAATAAATTATTTAATAAATCTTTCAACCCGAAAGACAGTAGAAAAATTCATCATACTTCTTGTAAAAGGGCAAACAATGCCGGTGTTGCTTCTTTTTGCATAATTGTGGTAACAAAATGCAATAAGCTATGAACAAATTTAGGAATGTACAAAAAAATTGATTGAATCGATAAATTAAATTGGATCAAACTGGACTGAAATGTTCGATTCGATTTTAAATTTTATGAAGCCAGTAAGAATGATATGGTTTTAAAATATTTTTAAACTGATCCAATATGAATCGTGTGAAATTTTAGACAAATTGCTAGACGGATCATGACAAACTTTCCACAAAGATGGCACATGGACGGTGGAGATTGGCTGATTGGAACCTAACAAACACCGATTTCTTTCACTTGATGTTGACTAGATAAGTCAATAGTGATTGTCGGTGATCCGGTTGTCTGGTTTGATTTGTGATGGAACAAGAGAATTCGGCATCTTGATTGATTCCCATTTACCCACGATTCCTTACCTTTTCAAATCCATCATTATCAAAAACGTGGGATGAAAGTGATGGTTTGATATGCATTGCTCTTATTCTCAATTTTTTCTTCTTTTTTCCCCTCTTATTGTCAAATCTTAAACAAGTATTCAAATAAACGGAGACAAGAATTTTTCAACATTTTCAACACAAAAATTTGGAACTTTTAATTCAGTTTTCAAGTGAATTACAAATTGTAATTTCGGTTGCATTTGGATGGATGAATTTTAAAAAAACCACTTAAAATATTGTGAGAAAAAAACTTTTCCATATACATGCAAGTAGAATAGAGGTATGCATACAACTCCTCGTGTTGTTAAGAGTTGGTTAGGGTAACAATTTGGGTAGGCAATCGGTGCTCAATTCAAAATTTCTTGAATTTGAATAATATTTGTAACTAGGGTTGAACATGAATTGAAAACTCACAACCCAAACTTAGTTGTAGCTTAGGTGTCAATAACTCGAGCCCAACCCAACTCTAACTCTAACTCTAACTATAATTATGTGTATATTTCAAATCATGATCCGACCTCTTTTTTTTTTTTTTTTTTTTTTTTTTTTTTTTTTTTTTTTTTACACTTAATTTATATAAAATTTACATTCAAATAAAAAATAAAAAAATCTGCATAGGTGAATCCATTTTCTCAAAATGGAAAAGCGAAAAGGATGACGCTTGTTTATAGACCTGTCAATGGATCGGATTCGGATTGAATAGATCAAATCCATATCCTATTTGTTAAGCAAACGGATTATCGAATTCGGATCACTAACGGGCTCGGACTGAATGTCCCAATCCATATCCTATTTAGCTCGGATTCGGATCAAATCGGATTAAATTAATATTTACTAACATATATAATTATAAAGAGTATGATTTTATTAGCATGTGTACGAAAAGATTTATTAACATGTGGATGAGAACACCACAATATTTTTATATAACATTCTTATTATTTTGTATTTTTGGGTTACCTTTAATACAATTCTAATAAGAGTATTGATATATATATATGTGTAAAATTATTGATAAATAATTATATATATATATATAATTTTAATCTGATCGGATCGAATTTTTATCGGATCGGATCAGCATAATCCATATCCGATTTGTTAAGCTAACGGATTATCGGATTCGGATCATAACCGGGTTATCGGATTTTTTATTCAATCCATATCTGACTAATCGAATCGGATTCAGATCGAATTTGGATCGGATCAGCTCTATTGAGAGGTCTACTTGTTTGAGTGTTTGGTTAGGAATGTCTTTATGGACTTTCAGTTCAGATTCGCATCTAGAATATGTTAATGAGTTTATGACTGCAGGCCCAAAATTGAGGCTCAGTAACAACAATTTTCCCATATTGTCGAGTTTGTGACTGCAGGACCAACTTTGAGGCCCAATAACAAAAAATTTCCCATGTTGTTTTGTAGGCCCAACTTCAGGCCCAATAACAAAAATTTTCCCCACTCAATTAACAAATACATTCATGTAAATCTAAATAAAGTCAATTATAAACTGACTAAATCACAACCACTGAACGAATTTAGTTATATTAGGTGAAAAAAAAAAAAAAAATTCCACGTCATCGTATCAATTTCTCAAAGCCAACAACCAATCAACATCATCTTTCGCATCACTTGCTCTACTTCTATTGGCTCATCCCCGCCACGTCATCACACAAACGAACCTCCACCACTCATCCCAAACCTCTCCAACTTACCAAAACCCCTCTCTCTCTATACGTATATATATGTCGTGAAAGCTTCGAATTGTCCCAAAAATTCAAAAAAATTAAAAAAATTAAAAAAACAAAAATAAAATATATATTTTTTTCGATCGATTCTCTCTATCTACAATGGCAGTAATCAGATCGTCCCATCTTGCAACTATATGCCTCGTTCTGTTAGCGATTCAATCATCGACGGCGTTCCATTCAACGTCCGATCTCAATTCTCCAAAACCCAAAGCAATCTCTGTAAGTAATTCTTATCAATTTTTACTTTTAAATTCCGTTTGGCTTGGGAGAAAAAGTAGTCGAAGAAAGAAAATTGTTTGGTTATATATATTTTACTGGTCCATATGTCATCTCGAGATATAAAATTGTGATAATTTTAAGATCAAAACTAATTATTTATGTAAAATTCCCCAATTTTTAGTATCTCGAGTCCTAAGTTTATGACGCTTTTAAATAAAAGCGGTTGTGTATGTCAAATTCACCCATGTTTAGATCTAACTTTGCATCTCAATTAGTGAAATACGATTGCTATTCTGAAGCAAAAGAATGAATTGTTTGATTGCTGGGAAATTGAGGAGAAATGATGAAAGATCTAAATTTTCTCGGTCACCAAACAGAAGGTTGTTGAATGAGTCCGTTTTTATTTTTTTAGATTATGCGGGGATTTAAATTTTTTTATTTTTTATTTTTCATGTCTAACTGTTTCCTTTTCATTGGGTTCCATATAATGAGATCCGGTTATTGAATTGGGTCATTTTGTTTATTGAATTTTAGGATTTGAAGGAGTCAATTATCAAGGGTTTGGGGTTTCAAGCAGAAGATTTCAAGATATCTGGGTTTGATTTCAGAGATGCATTAGTGGGTAAATCTGTGGCGTATGAGTTTGATGTTGAAATTGATAATAAGGTTCTTCCAGTTAAGCTTTTAGAGGATGTGAAACGATGGGAATATGTGGATTTACCAATATTTCGAGTTGATGACTCCGCGAGGTCTAGTGAGGAGAATGGATTGGTTGAGAGGCAGAAATTGGAAAATGGGTTGCCAGTTTTGGCACCCTTTCAGTTGGCTGGTCCAATGGAGCTGTGGATTCAGGATGCCAAGGACATGAGGCTTTCATTGCCGGTAAGCTCATAATATTTGCTTTGTATATTCTGTAAAACTTGTTTGTTTGCTTTGAAATTGCCTCAAGTAATATGGAAGATTCTTATGCCAGTTCTTGTCTAGAAGAGATTCAGATTGAGATTGAGTCATATGTTTGAGCACTTAGAAGTGCCTAATGATGTTTCTCAAGAGTAGAAATATCATACTATTTCCACCGTTTGGTTTTAAGTCTCCTATGGGCATGACAGCATGTGAAGTTTGCATTTTGTGATGTTGATTTTTTGTTTCAGAAATGTGGAAGTTGGTATACTAGAATACTCATGAGTTCCTTTCATCTTGTTATTTCACATATTGAACGGCTTAATTCATATCCAAGAAGTAGAGTGGATAGTTAAAAAATCCATGGTTTTGAAATAACCGATTTGCATCCATACCAGCTTTCATCTTGAAATTCAAGTTCAAGATCCAAATCTTGGTTTTTGAACACCCTTCCAGGGTGCAACTCACTGTTGTAAATTTCTTTAAATTGAAATTTTAGTCTACAACGTAGTGGCAATGATGGAAATCTCACACAGAACTGTCGTGATGCCTGTTCTTTGTGTTGTGAGATTCTGGATCATTTATAACTCCTTAATGAGTTCAAATTGATCAGAATTGGGCAAAAATATAGTATTCTTTTTTACTCGAGCCCTTGACTTTCTATTGTAATTTATATTCCAGCCTGGTCGGATATCATAAAGATTCATCTGTTAGATTGGTGATATATTTTGTTGTTAGTAGCTTTTGTCAGGAAATCTTCTACTTTCATCTTTTAAAAATTGAGATAGATTCTATGTTTTTCATTGTAACAGCATGATGTGGATGCCGGTGAACTGAAGAAAGTAATTTTAGCAGATGGTGCGGTTGTTACCGTCAAGGGTGCCAGATCAGTTAGCCTGCGCCACCCAATTGAGCTCCCACTTCCCTTGAACCAAACCCAGAATGGTTTTGCGTCAGGTCTGCTTACTCTGGCTGATCGTCTCCGTCAGGCTTCCCGCACCCAAAGGGTTCCAATCCTCTCCCTCCGCATTGTTGGCCCTACCTCCCTTACATCCCCTTCCTCATCATCACCTTCTTCGAATAACAAGCTCAAGCTTAAGCGCCTTGCCCCAGGTCTTGTGGAGCTGTCTTCACCATCAAAAACCAATGCCATTGAAGCCGGCTCTGCCATTGATCTCCAAGGAGAAGCTTCTGCCCTTTTAACTCCAAATCAATTTACCACAATGTGGCCTCTTGCCTCAATCAATGGGTCAAACTCTAACTTGTTAGGTTTTGAGAAGCTGCTCTCTACGGTGCTAGGTCCAAAAGCTAATAACAAGGGTTCTTTCAAGTTGTTGAAGGCAGATGTGTCTGCTCAAACGTTTGTGAAGGTAGGTTTTGGGATGGAGAAGAAGTTGAAAGAAGGAGATGGGTTTGGTTTGGAAGGCTTTCCAGCTTGGAGAACGAAGCCTGAGAGTGTGAGGATGCATTTTGAGGTCTTGGCTAAGGTCGATGGAGGCAAAGTTGTCCCCGAGAGAGTGATGCAGGTAAATCCTGTTGTTATGGAGGATACCGTCGCTCAGAGCGTGCTCATGGGTAACATTACTATGTCAAAGACCCCTATTGTTCATTCTCCTCCCAATCCCTTGACCTTATAATTTGTTGTAGGGATTGATTTTGATCCAAGTTGAGGAATGTACAAAGACAGTCTTTTGTTATTTTCCCCCCCTTATCCTTTGTTTTCTGCAATGATCATCAGAAAGGTGAAAGAAGTTTGACACTGTAAAGAATTGTAAGGCGGAAGCTTATGAAGACTATTTTTAAAGCCATTATGCATGGTGTGCCAAAATCTGAGTTGTGTGATGAGATTTGTTATTGCGGTGCATTTTCATATTATTTGATACAAATCCAACTTGACCATAATGTTATTGGCTGAGGTGTTCGCGATCTGGTTTAAGAACTCCTTAAAACTTAAGATATTAGGTGACCTTAACTTAAGATATTAGGTGATGCTAACGTCTGTCCTTGTATGCTCAAGAACCTCAACAATATCGTTGTGATTGGTTCACCCTAATGACAGGGATGGTGTTGGTCCACCCTTAGGAGCAATATCGTTGTGATTGGTTCACCCTAATGACAGGGATGGTGTTGGTCCACCCTTAGGACCCGGTTCGATGGTGTTGGTCCGCCCTAACGGCGGGGACCTGGTAACGAACTATGTGATATTAGCACCCGCATCCCTTATTAAGAACAGTTTTCTTCAAGTTGGCATATCGTGTTGTTATGTACATTTATCTCCACCTAGGGTTTAATTGATAATCATTTGATTTATGATCTTAGGAATATAAGGAGAGTGAAAATTTTGGATTAGGAACCTTATTCAATTGAGTTGGAAAGTGGTTTGCCCTTCATTCCTTAATTCCACTTTCCTACCATCAAGAAAATACTAAAATATAAAAATCACATTGGAGAATTACCTCATGACAATAATGGGCATGTTTCTATTGAGCAGAGGAAGATTGAATCTGCAGTCTACTGCAGAAGATTCAAATGGTATGAAAGTTCATTCCTGCCTGACTATTCACGGAGAACTCTAGGTGAGCCCCCATTATGTTCTCCGATCCCCCGAGGAACGATTGCAATAATTAGCCTTTCAATCTAATAACTGAGGGCACAAGCTTATAGGTTTTTCTTTGATAAATGCCTTCGGTTACTAATAATATTGCTCAGAATGTGGTGTCAATCTGGATGACTAACTTGTATATATTCGATCCGATCATGACGGAAAATTCAAGATAACAGAACAGTTTCTGGTGTCTAGATCAATGACATAACATACAAGTAGGATTCATTTTCACGAGTGAGGTATGAGAAGACTAATTTTGAGGAGGTAGGAAGAGAAAATATATAGACATTGTAAGAGGCTGATGAAATCTTCCATATATCCTCTCATTTTCCTCATTTCTTGATAAACGAAATTCCCTTCTGGATGCTCACATCTAGCTCTTTCTTTGCTTTCTCCAATCCAATCCTGTTCCAGAGTCATTGGGTGAATAAAGAGAAAATCTGAATATATATGCACATTGCACACCAACTCTTTATAGCATACCTCTCATACTCATTAAGGGGTCCGAGTTGGTAGATCTCTTCAGCTCCGGTACGGCCAAGTCGTACTTTGGTGGCGAAGAAAGGTAGTTCTGTGACCTATATAACCAATATGCAAGTTGTTAAAAACAAGGGTTTTGAGGATACATCATAAGGAAGTTTAGGTTGGAACAATGTACCTGAGAAGCTACGAAAGAACACTCAACAACGCCAGCATCTCCTCTCAATCCCCGAAGGCATGCATCCGCAAATTTAACAGCTGCATATGCCTATATATATATGCACACAAGCTCTTTTATTTTCAGAGTTTACTAGTTAAGTTAGAAGGTCTAGGGTTTCTTTTGTTACGAAGTTCGTGAATTGAACAGCAATAATGTGGCTAACCATTGATAGTGTTGCCGAACCAGCGCCAGCTTTTGCCTGCACACAATGTGAACATAAGTAAATATTGTTGCTGACTTGTATCGCTATAGAAGTCTTAGGAACATGGTGGTAGCAAATTTATGAAGTTTGCAACCAAACTGATACTTGTGCACTGGAAATGTGAGTTGAGATAAAGAAAGTTCAAATAATCTTATAGATTCTAAACATGACCAGCGTTCAAATTGATTAAAATGCTTATTTTTATTTGAAACTAGCCTCAGTTGATCTCTGAATCTTGAAAGTATTAAATGGGCTCTTGAGAGATAGCATGTAATACAATTGACATTACCTCAACAACTTCTGTTCCGCCATTTTGAATGCGATTTGTGAGGTATGCAGTTTCTTCTGGGGTAAAGGAGCAAGGGGGTTTCACCTGCAGAGGGCAGTACAAAGTTGATCCCTTTTTTGAAAGCCAGTTGAAAACTATATGACTAAATTACTCGAGCTAGCACAAAAAACATGGGAAAGGCTGAAATTTGAAGGCACGTAGCCTCAAACCTGTGATAGAAGAGGCAAGATTGTCACTCCAGAATGACCTCCGACAACTGGAACATCGACATTCCTAGGATCAAGTCCCAATACTTCTGCCTGTAGGGATCTCGGGAGAACAGAGTCAGGAAAATTTAGTTTCGACAATGCTGGCAATACAAAACACTTAACAGTATAGCAATAAGCACTGGTTTGGTTGCTGGCAAACCACAATACATGGTTAGGTACGTTCTCACTTATTTTCTACCTGCAATCTAGAATTCATGATGTGCAGCAACTATTTCTTTGGATAATCACATTATAGAAGTCCAAAACATGATTCGAAATGCGATCTTAGGTTAACAACAGGAGATCCAAGAATTCATTGTAAACAAAGAATCGAATTTGTGCGCGTCTATTGTGCCTATAGGTATGTCCACAAGTGAAGAAAGCTGTAACTACCATAATACTAGAGTAGAAAACCACCAGCAGTTGGTACTTCTAGGATTTACTACTACTTGAATTTACTCTTTATCTCCCTGTTATGTTACACTTTGATCATATTTTAGGAGTCAAGGACAAAATAAATTTGGCATTAGGCTATCATTAGTTTAATGGATCAATTGAACTATCCATGTCTGCAATGAAGGTGATAGGATTGACACACATTGATTAACAAATAACACAAAGCAAAGAAATTCAGTTATGTGCATACCACAAAAGTGTTGGCTCTCACAACGTCGAGCATTGTGACTCCCAAGAGCCGCTTTGGGTCATAAGTTCCGGCCTTCTTGAAAACCTCTGCTGCAATCGGAACTGTGGAGTTAACCGGATTACTGATCAAGTTGACAATGGCATTCGGACAGCACTTAGCAATCCCTTCACAAAGGGTCCTGACAATCCCGGCATTGATGTTGAAAAGGTCATCCCTAGTCATTCCTGGCTTTCTCGGAACACCAGCAGGTATGATCACAAGGTCCATGCCAGCAAGAGCACTCTCGAGCTGTGGCTGTCCAAGAAAACCGCGCACCTAGACACGCAAACACAATGTGTATCGATTGAAATCACGAGATTAACATCAAGGTAAAATAGTCTGTTCAATGAAAGCTGCAAAAAAATTGGATTGTTGAATATCGAAAAGTACCACAGCACCGGTGTCCATGTGACTAATATCAGCTGTGACACCAGGGGAATTGACAACATCATAGAGATGAAGAACAGAAACCAATGGGTTTATCTTCATAAGCATTGCAAGAGGTTGGCCAATGCCTCCAGCCGCACCAAGTATAGCAACCTTAAATCCAGGAGCACCACCTTTCGCTCTGCAATTGGCTCGGCTCAAACCAGAACTTTCTTCCATCTTTCAGTACACATTTCACACAAACAAACATTTTCAGCAGCATCAAAAGTCTTGCAAATTGGAAACAAACAAAGATAGAAAATACTAAAACCTGGTTTAAATAAACATTGCCCTTTAAGTCACGAGTTAAATTCTGATTATGGCCATGATTGTAAAATTTTACACGTTCACCCAAAATTAGAGTTACGTCCACGAAGTTACCAAAATTTCACTATGATTAAAAGGCCCGCTCCCTCGATATTCATATAAAATTAGGGCTCCAAAACAAGTATGGAGTTGGATCCACAGAAGTGTGGTAAGGTGTAGAGTACTATCAGACTCCACACTTCCTACGGTCTAACCTTTTTTTTAAAAAAAGAATTGCAGGGTACCCATTAATGAATGCACAAGTATTTAACAATAATAATCAATTATTGGGTGTATAGTATAAACAACAATGGACAATAATCAAGAGTCCTGCATATACTAACACAAAATGCTATATAAATGGAGTATATTTTTGTGTGTGTGTATATATATATATATGTATAGAAGAGTCTACATACTACAGTTCTTACAAGTGAATACAGAAAATGGGTTGGAAGAGGAGAAGCAAACCTGGAGATTAGGAGGATGAAGATGAGCTGAGATTCTTGCAATACGATTTTGAGCTTCCATGTTTGGATTTTCACTTTGTAGAGAGAGAGAGAGAGAGTTGCAGTAGTGAGTAGTGTGTTGGTACTAAAAAAAGAAATGTGATAAACGAATGAACTTAGAATAGAATGAGAAAAATAAATGGATAATGATTAATATTATAGTCTTAACACAGAATATAGAAGTTGACGTGAATGATAAATTAATTTTTAGTTTTTGTATGGAAGCTATATTTCTGAACCACCTTATCTTATCTTTAATAAATGTGGCTCTCACAAATTTCCACTCTACAATTTGACAAGTTTTCTCCCGATTGGGATAGGGATTGGAATTGGAGGGAGATGATGAAAGATTCCCATAACAGGTGTCTTATGGATTTTCACGAGTCAGTAAGAAATCATGCATGTGAGAGAAAAGTTTTATTGTATCCCGCTGCAATAGGCGCATATGGACCGTTCATATAATAACGTATATGTATTCATTAAAAGAAAAAAAAAACGAGTAGTTTTAAAACGAAAAAAAAAAAAAAAAAAATGCAAAATGTTTCAAAGAAAAAATAGAAGAGTTACGGAGGAAATAAAATAAAAAAGAGAAAGATTTTAGATCGGTGAAAATTTTCTCCGGGGTAGTGCTTATCAAATTTAATTTAATAACACATCTTAAATATCAATTAAAAATAAGTTTACTTAAAATTAAATATAATTTTAACTGATAATGAATTCACTTATCATAAAATGCTAAATACTTAAAATTAAAAAAAAAAAAAAATTACCACCAAAAATTTCAACACTTAAAATATATCCGTACTTAATTTTCAGCTCCTTATTGTACAAATAAGTACCTAAGTAGTGCTGGATATCACAAAAGCCTTCGTAATACCCCTTACAAATATTTTATTGTATTTTTCCTTATCACATACTAAATTGAATTTTTTTTTTTTTTTTTCTTCCTTGGTAGTCAAGTATTAAGTTATACAATTCTTCTCAACGGTTGTCGCTCTCACGTTCTAAGTGTGTTTCCGCTCTTATGCTCCACATGCGCTCACTTCTATTTTCACTGTTTGTAACTTATTTTTGCCGCCTGGAACCCCTAATTTTTTGAATTTCTTTTAGGTAAAAATAAAAATAGTATATCATGCACCCCACCCTCCAAAAAAAAAAAAAATGCATTTTTTTTTTTTAATTAGCATATAACAAAAGATAGTTTATATATAATCTAAATTAGTTATATATTCTATGTGTAAGCCATTAACATTTTATGATATTTTAAAATAATCTAAATTATTATTATTATTATTATTATTAATGCTTTTTATCCACACTTTTGACCTTTTTGTTTTGTCTTGTTTCTTACTTAAATTTGCTTGCCCTTTTTCTACTGAGAGAAAGAGAGTGCAGAGAGACAAGTTTCACACACAAAGAAAGATTATATCCTTACAATCCCTTATTTCAATCTAACTTCCAAAAAAAAAAAAAAAAATCTCTTATTTCATTACAAACATGTATTGATTTGAACTACAGAATCATTTCTCATCAATGTAGATATTTTTTATTCACATTGCAATTTAGGTTAATCTCAAAGTTTTTTTTTTATTCCTCTCTCTATATAAATTTTGTATGTGTTGAGGGTGAAATCCGCATGGTCCGATACGACACCGTTTACCTGTAAGGGAAAGAGGAGAAAATCGATGAACCTTGACAGCACCGGTGTGGTGCCTGCCAAAAGCTCTTCGACGATCAAGTTAGTCACCGGAGGTCTAAAAAGGAAGGCAGGAATTTAATAATATAATTTTCGTCGTACCTTATTTTATTCTGGATAAGAAATTTCATCATCCTTATCCCATGGAACTTATCCCATGGAAGTCTTATCCGCTGGAGATCTTATCCTTGATGAGATTTGTCATGATTTTAATTCATAAAAATCGTTACCTATAATAATGAAATATTATCATTGATCCTGAAGAGGTCTGGCGGCTGGTCAAAGTAGGTTAGGTTTATTTTTCCCTATCAGTATGTATATATGTATTTTTGTGTGGGTGTGTGACTATTTTTTTTTTTTCCCTTAATCTCTAGAAAAGTTGAATTTCTCAAAATTTTACTTGGTATATTGTTGTATTGATTTTTAGTTTATAAGAATAAATATCATTCTTTTTTTGGTCCAATATTTACATTTTTCAATATTAATACTATACTATAATTTTTGTTTTGAATCTCAAATAAGTTTCTTTAAAAATAACAATAATATATATATATATATATATATATATATATATATATATTTTTTTTTTTTGCCCTTTACTTGCCAACATTCTTTGAATTAAGTTAGTCAAAATTGATTTATTGTTGTTTATTTTTTATTGACATATTGTGCAATGATTATTAATTTGTGCAAATATTACATGAATTTCTTATTTTTTGTATACATTAAATTCTAATTGTTTAATTGAATGTTTTTATAATTTTGACATAAATTTTATTCGTGTTTGTTCATAAAGTTTGATAAAAAAAATTCTTTAAATAACTAATTTTTTTAAAAAAAATAAATTGGCAACGTTCATTTTGGAGTTTCAAAATGTCTAGACTTGTGAGGTAAGTTAGTTTACTTTGAGATATGAGTTATATACGGAGTATCAATCATAATCACATTTTAGAATGTGCCACAAGAGTGACAGGATTGGATTGTGCCCACGCAAGAAAGAGTGAGAGTGAGAGTGAGAGTGAGAGGAAATTCACTGGGTCAGTGGCTTAGTGGTAGTCTTTTATTTTTTAAAGGGGATTAAGAATTCAAGTCTCAGAAAAGACAAATGTGTAAAAATATCAACTAGGAAAGAAAATTTTTTGAGAGGAAAACTTGATTCATCTTGTCTATTACTATACTTAAAGTCCACTATATGCCTTCTAATTTATTTATTTATTTATTTTTTAAACCTAGCAAATATTTTATAAACATCATAGCAACAAGTACATGAGGTGGAGTACACTTAAAGCATGGAGACAAATACATGGATCTTTATGTACTACCTTCCTAATCAGTTCTACCTTAGGAGGTCTTAGAAACTTTACATTACGATGACAGACTATATAAAATGGCATAATGCTACGAACAGCATCTAAAAGACAGGTTTTATCTTTCGCCGTAGTAAATAACATCATACCAGACGTAGTATCCTATCCTAACAGCACTCTAAGATCCAAAACCGTGGTAGCCCGTACCAACAAAATATCTCCAACTTGCACATCAACATTGCATAATGATAGATTATGTGCAATAGGGAGAACAAATTCCTCCGGAAGAAACTGAATCAACCAATTCGTAGGAACATGACCCTGGGAAAATTGGACAACAACATTTACCAACTTGTGTCTATGTCTATAAATAGAGTTAAACCAAGCCGAGGGAGAACCCAAAGTACCATACAAATATCAAAGTGACCAAAAAAAAAAAAATGCTCAGTACACAGCATAAAACAGCCTCATAAAAATATAACCCTGCTACCAACTTCAAAACAAAGGCCTTTGAAAACTTTTCCTTGCGTCCAAAATACATGGGAACCGAAGAAGATATGATTTGTCTTTTTTTTTTTTTTTCTCATTTCATTTTATCTTAAGCTGTTGGCTACAATCGTGACTATTGTACCGAACTCTTCCTCTAGCCGGGTTACTACAGTCAATGATTTAGAAGTGACAGTCGCCAAATGAATTATCCCCATTTGAATATGAAAACTTTATTAGGACTGATTTTTTTGTTACAATTTTTTTTTGATGTGTGCATGATTGACATTTCTATCAAATAACTTTTGTAATAGAAAAATGATAATACAAATGACATCTGAAATAAGAAAATTGTAACTTTGTATATTCAATCTATTTACTTTACTTTATTTGTATATCATAATTCTTTTAAAAAATTGACGAAAGTATTAAACTTTTTAGAGAGGAGTGAAACGTATAACCACGCGATCATTCAATTTCAACCCTAAATACGCTATTAATTTTTTTTTTAATTGTTAATTTTGTTATATGGTACTATTCCATCGAATGAGGAAGTGCCAACTTACAAATCTAATGCAAATAGAAAGTCTATTCTTCAGTGTCAAAATATGAGATAATACAAACAACAATATTACAAAAACCTAATTAAATATCAAGGAATGTGATCTAAAAGATCCATAAATAAAGGCATAGTAAAAATTACAGAGGATATAACAATTTGTTTAGTGATCCATGGATAAAAAATTAAAAAAAAAATAAATTAAACTTCCGGAAAAAAAAAATGATGGGATAATTATCAATTTCAATCCTTGATTGCTTATTTATTTTTTATTTTTTAATTGTCATGACTGTACGCTATTAATTTTTTTTTTTAATGGTTAATTTTGTTATGTGATACTATTCCATCCGAATGAGGAAGTGCTGACTTACAAATCTAATGCAAATAGAAAGTCTATTCTTCAGTGTCAAAAGATATATAATTCAAACAACAATATTACAAAAACCTAATTAAATATCAAGGAATGTGATCTAAAAGACCCATAAATAAAGGAGTAGTAAGAATTACAGAGGATATACGAATTAAGTACCTCAAAAGATTACCAAAAATAGGCAATTCTTTTGTGATCCATGTATAAAAAATTTAAAAAATTTAAACTTCCAGTAAAAAAGATGATGGGATAATTATCTGATGGATATTAGTTTCATCAAACACTACGTCCTATACAAAACAAATACTTTCTTGCTTTTCATTATTTTTGTTTTTGAATTGGTTTTAGTTTACTCCAACATCTTAAATAAATTTAAAATTAATATTAATATGCAAATGTGACTGAATGAAAGTTAGAAGTCAAAACAAAATATTGTGAACTGAAATAATATTAATAGACAGAAATCATGCAAAATATTAAGTTTCAGAATTCTTTTTCTGTGTATGACAAAAAAATAAAAGGCATGAAAGGAACATTAGTTTTGTTGATGAATTATTTATTGTGAACTGAAATAATATTAATAGACAGAAGAGACTTCGGCATTTTAATTTTTTTTTGTTTTGGGTATGACAAAAAATCAACGCATCAAAAGAACATTAGTTTTGGTCATGAATAATGAGTTACTTACCCCCATAATTATTCACAAAATGATGACTACATAATA